GTTCTGTGAGCTCCTGGGCAACAGGTGAGCTGACCTCCCCGAGCCTCACTTCTATCGGGGGTGGGAAAAGACACCAGCGGCAGGAACCGATGGCGTGCCGGCCGGAGGGACTCGCCGCGGTCCTCAGCCTTCACGAGGGCCGGTCCTTGCCCTAAAGCTAGGTCGCCGGGGGCCGCCAGGGGGTGCTGCTCGGCCGCGGCCGCGGGCCCGCTCGGGGCATGGCCTCCAGTTCCCGCTCACTGGGGCGGTGCGCGCGTGCGCACTGCGCCCCGCCCGCAGGGACTGCTGGGCCGGCGACGCGAGCGTGCGGCCAGCGGGAGCGGAGCTGTGGCCCCGAAGATGTGGAGACCTGTGAGCCCCCCGCGCGCCCGCGCCCCTCCCGCGGCCCGGCCGGGACCCGCAGGGCCCCGAGACCCTGCCCCCAGAGGTCCTCTCGCCCGACAGGGACCCTCAGGGCTCTAGGAGGAGCCCGTCACAGCCCTCAGGCGTCCTGTCCTTCGGGCCCCCACTTCAGCCCCCAGGCCCTGTGGGGAGATGCCGGGAGCCACTTAGGGGCCCGCTGGAGAGGCTGCCTTCCCGACGCACCCCACAGCCCCCCTTCTCCTCAGGAGCACGTTCTCCCTGGTGGAGCCTTGTCTCAGAGGCGGCCTCTCCAAAGCCTCTCCAACCCCGCGAGGGATGACCCTCTAGTCCCCTCACGGGCTCCCCTCCCCAGGGAGACACTGTCCCGAGGCGACTGCCCAGCGCCTGACCCCTCCTCCCGCCCCGTGTCTCCCTTAGACCCGTCGCTGCTGCAGACTCTGCCAGAATCCCAGACCGGATCCCCCCCGTCTTTCCTTCTACCTGCTCCCTTGGGCACCCTTTTCGCCTGGTCACCAACCCCCACGCCCTGGGTCATCCTGGGCTGACAGCTGCCCCCCTGCTTCTGGGGAGACAGAGGACTTTGGGGGCTGGGAGGGGCGCAGAGCCACCCCTCCTCCCACCCTGTCTCCGAAAGCCCCTCTCAGGCCTTCCTAGGCTTCTGCCTGGCCCTGGGCTGCCCTCCTAGCTCAAGCTTCTTTTGATCCTGAACGTGGCAGCTGACTTTTCAGTTTTTCTCCTGGTCGGGCCTCCCCGTTTTATCGCGTCTCTGCAGTTTGGATTAGCACCTTTCAAACCGGGTGTCATAGTCATTGACCCAGATCTTAGCCACTCCCTCCCCAGGAATCTAGCCCTTTTTTCCTGTGGTTGGTTTAGAGCTGAAGAGACTGAGGGGGGCTCATCACCGTTTCAAATTGGAATTTTCTGTAGACCTTGTCTTTTTCTAGTAAGCCTAGCCTTGTGTGTTTAGGTATTAATACAAATAAACACCCATTACCTTTTGTGGCTGGCAGTGAGCAGCTCCGTTACGTAGGGGTGTTTTATGGGCTGAGATGGTGAAGCAGTCTGAGAGTAAGTCTGAGAGGCAGAGAGACGCTGAGTTGGTCTTTTATAGTTTACTTATCTTTTTATAGTTTATAAAGCTGCTTCACACAGTCAGTTCACTCAATCCTCCAGGCAGCTTTAGCCCCTGATGAGGAGATTCCCATGACCAGTAAGTGGAGCAGGGCCCAGTAGCCTTCTAAGTCCTGACTGGTGTTGAGAAGGTCACAGACCCTTGGAAAAGAAAAGGACAGGGCATTCATGGTCACCTCCGCCACCTCTTCTGGGCCCAGATTCCCAGTCTCTCTCTTCCTAACCATGAGAACGTTTCTGTGCTTTGGCTTCCTCTCCTGGTGTGGGCGTAGGGCTGTTGACCTCACCATTAGACTGCCCAGGTTCTTGTCACCTCTTTGTAGTTTCTCTGTTTCAGGCCTCATGAGACTCAGCAGTTGGCTGGGGGCTGGTTTATCCTGCAGTGACCTTTCACCTTCCTTCTAATCTGCTGTGTCTAATCAATCGTGTGTTAGAAAAACAGACAACTCAGCTTGTGCCTAAGACATGAGTGCTGTGTTGAAGTGCACACAAAGTTTGTGAGGGTTGTAGTATCTATCCGAGTGTTACTACTCGAGCTCTTTCTGCTACTTTGTAGATTGTTAGCTGAGTTCCAGATGGGCACTCTGTTTCTGCTGACCGACTGTTCAGGCACTCTTAAGAAAGCGCTAGAGGCTGGGGTAGAGGAGGCCCATCTCATCTTGTCCCAGCTGGGAGGCTTTTGGAGTGAGAGGGGTGCTGGGACAACCCCTATAAGCCAGGACCGCCCCAGGATAGCTGCGTGCGTGGTCACCCTGGTGAGAAGGCACGGTGTGCGGGAGTGTGCCTGGGGACCCACAGCCCTCTCTATACATGTTTCCTGCCATGCTCTGGTGCCTGAGCTCTGGGTATGGTTTGGGTTACGTGTGATGTGGTGGAAACTGTGCCAGACTGGTTCTTGGAAGGTCTGGCTGCGGGCTCTGCCCCACATTTATAGCTACGTGACCTCGTTGGGCTTCAGAGATGTCTCCTCTGTGATGGGGACATTTGGGGAGTCGCTGGGCACCCCGGCTGGGATGAGCCAGGCACACTGGGGGCCCTGTGGGCACTCTGGCGTCGTCAGCAGGAGGCCTCATCCTTGGAGGCCGGCCCAGGGCCAGGCTGCGGTCGGGGCTGGGGCTGTCTCTCGCCTGACCGTGGCCTTCGCCCTGTTGCTCAGTGACATCCTCGCTTGGGCCGTGTGGGGTTCTGGCTCATTCACCGTTTATCTTAATTCAGCGAGCATTCATGGAGTTCCTGCTTTATCTTAGAAAGCACAGGGCTAGTCGAAGTACAGAGATGATTGACTGGTGGGCCCTCCTCAGGCTGGTGGAGAGAAAGACCGCGAACTACCAGGCACAGTCCTGTGTGATAAGGACAGTGGGAGAGGGATGGGGGGGGATGGTAACCATGGTGAATCAGGGTGGGGGAAGGGCCTTCTAGGCAGAAGGGCAGCCCGGGGAGCAGGCCTGGCCAGGCTCTGCGCGGCTCTCCAAGGTCTGCCAGAGGGATGTTTATCCCAGGAGAGTGAGTGAGGAGTCAGTGCTGGGAATGATGAGCTGCAGCCAGAGCTGCTGCAGTGGTGGCTTCTCAGAAAACAACAGAAAACTGTTACGGGGACTGTGGTCAGGGGCGGTTACTTTTCTGGCCGTGCCCCCTCTGCATCGGCCGTGTGTTCGGAGGCTGTGGACTCTGGTCCTCAGCTTCCCTACCAGAGCCCCTGCTGCTGGTGGATAGAGGTTAGGAGGCTGCGGGTGCAGCTGGGGCCCCGTGCCTTAGATGATTCAGGTTCAGCATCCTCCTGTAAAAGAACTGTAGGTTTTAATATGATCGTGATGTGTCAACTTATTTGTCAGTTAGGTGACTTGACTTTTCCTCACCAGACCCTTCCTACTAATGGCTCAGGGGGACAGTGTGCTCCGCCCTGTGGCTGTCAGGACCTGCCACCTGGGGAAGGAAAGGGTGACGACTGGGGCAGCGGTTTGACTTGGGCTCCACCCCCAGATTCACCAGGCATTTCTGCTGTGGACCACGTGAGGAAATATGTGTGAAAGTCCCACCGTCAGAAATGCCCACCTTTTGTTGAACACCTGTTAGGTGTCAGACCCTGAGCGAGGTACTTTATTTCTACCATGTTTCACCTTTCCAGCCTGGCAAGGTGTCAGCGGGGAGTCGCCCCCAGGCAGAGGGTAAAGGTTGGTGAGGCTTGCGGGCTGGGCCTGTGTTGCTGCAGCGCAGCGCTCGGCCCTCGTGGGCTCTGCCCGACTCCACGGCACCCCGTCAGCACGAGGGTGCTGAGTTCTTTGCCTTTCCACTGGGGTCACCAGAAAACCGGCTGGGGCTGCACACACTTCTCCTCTGGGGTGTCCTCATCGTGTGCCCCTCAGGGTCTCCCTGATGGACTCTGGTCTTTCCCCAGGCGGCAGGGCTTGGAGGGTGAGCCCTCTCTCAGGGGCGCCCTCCTCGCCCGCAGTCTTCTGCTGCTTCTAAGTCAGACATACGCAGACCACGTGTGCGGGGCCTCTGGGGGAGGAGGTGTGATGCTGGGTCCAGCCGTGGTCTTGGAGCAGCTGTGCCCGGGCTCTGGGAGTGACAGCCCCTGCCAGCCCTCACCTCAGTGTTGGCGCCCGCAGCCTCTTGACTCTGCCCCTCCAGGTCGTTGGCACGTTGGCTCGAATAACTCGTGGACCTGTCCTTTCTTTCCTTCTGAATGTAATCATTATCAATCAGCTTTGGCCATTTTCCTTCTCTGTCTCAGGGTGCAGTCCCCATGGGACTTTGCAGCGAGGCCCACTCTGCTGCCCGTCCACTCCAGTAGCTGAGCATTTCCTCATATCTGTATATAATCTACTCCAAGCTTTTCATAAGTTGGTCCCTGACTCATGATGGTTTGACTTACGATTTTTCAACTTTATGGTGCTGCAAAAGTGATACACATTCAGTAGAAACCATGCTTTGAATTTTGAATTTTGATCTTTTCCTGGACCAGCGATGCAGGGTGGATACTCTCTCCTGATGCTGGGCAGTGGCAGCCGCAGCTCCCCAGCAGCCCCGAGGTCACAAGGGTGCACAGCGGTGCCCTGACAGCTGTTCTATATTCACTTTCAATCAATTACATGAGATAGTCCACATTTTAGTATAAAACAGGCTTTGTGCTAGATGGTTTCGCCCACTTGTAGGCTAATGTGAGTGTTGTGAGCACGTTTCAGGAAGGCCAGTCTCAGCTGTGACGTTCGTTAGGTTCAGTGTATTAAATGCATTTTCGACTTAATGATGTTCTCAGCTTGCAGTGGGTCTAACTCTAACCCTAACCCCATCGTAAGTCGAGGAGGATCTGTAGTCTCTCTTCTGGGCTAAACAAACCCTTTTTTCCTTCTGAAAAAGCAGGGGGCAGCTGACGATCTTTCAATATAAATAGTTGGACTTCCCTGGTGGCGCAGTGAATAAAACTCCATGCTCCGAATGCAGGGGGCCTGGGTTCGATCCCTGGTCAGGGGACTAGATCCCACATGCATGCCACAACTAAGGAGCCCTGGAGCTGCAACTAAGGAACCCACCTGCTGCAACTAAGACCTGGTGCAACCAAATAAATAAATACAATATAAATAGTTCAGTTCAACCCAGCAAATACGTCCTTCTTGTTAGGTGGGGTGGTCTGCAGAGCAAGGGGGGCAGGGTTGTTGGGAGGAGGGTTAGGGCACTGGGGACCAGCGGGCAGCTTAGTGCAGTGAGGAGGGCCTAGCGGCAGGTAGCTTCAGCGTGTGCCTCCGCCTGCCCTGCACGCTGGGCTGGACATTGCTCGAGGGCTTTGCAGATGTCAGCTCACTCACCCTCACTTCAGCAGTACAGCAGTCCCCACCTTACAGACAGGGAAACTGAGGCACAGAGGGAAGGCACTTACCCATGCTGCATGACTGGTAAGTGCTGGAGCCCAGATTCCAGCTCCAGCCCCAGAAGTCTGGCTCCAGGTTCTACTTGAGTCTCTGGGGTGGGGCCTTCCAGTGTCTGGTGTTGAGTGGTGTCCCTGGCCTCTACCCCCTACATGCCAGGAGCACCCCTCCCCCAAGTTGTGACAACTAGGAGTGTCTCCAGACAGTGCCAGGTCTGCCTGTCCTGTACCAGCTACCTCGCCTTCCACATGCCGCCTTCCTGATAGGACTCTGAGAGTATAGCAGATGCATTGCACCTTTGATCATGAAAACATTTACACATAGGGACAAGCTGACAGCGTGGTCCCAGAGAGTTAATTATCCAGATGCCACCACCTAGATCTACCCATTATTAACATCTTGCCCTAGTGGGTCTATTTCTATATGAAAATATATATTTTGTTGTTGTTGGATCATTTGAAAGTAAGTCACAGACATTTTGACCCATAATCTCTAAATACTTCAGTGTGCATCCCGTAAACAAGGATATTATGTAGCCACAGTAACCGTCATGCCTAAAAATCGTAATTTTTGTGCTCCCTGGTGTCTGGGGTCCCTCAAATGTTTCATAGGTGCTTTCTTGAAGATTGAGGTTTAGTCAGGGTTCATGCTTTGCACTTGGTGCAAAGTCATCCCACGTTTTTTCTCGTGACTTTTTTTTTTAACTTGTAAGGAAAAATTGCAAATATTTACAGAAGTAGAGAAAACTGATCAATGACAGTGCCGGGCACCAGTAGTTCTCAATGCGTGGATGCTAATGGCTTTCTGGAGAGGCCGGGCTGCTGTTTAGAGACACCCCAGGCTTGGGAATTCTCAGGGTCACTGATGATGAACGAGGAGCCCCAGGGCTGGTAGCTGCTGGCTGTTGTCATTTCTTATTCCGTGGGCTCGTGATCTCGCTGAGAAGACCAGAATCGCAGCAGAACGCTCGCTGGCCAGAGGAGCAGGCAGCTGGTGTGCGGGGCGTCCCGGCCGAGGCCGTCTTGCCTGGTTCCTCACGCTGGCCCTGAACCTACCCCACCCCGCCCCCAGGCCACAGCTCCGCCTCGGGCTCCAGCCCCCTCCCAGGCTGACCACTCCAGCGTACGCCCCCTCCCTGCATGAAAACCCTGGGACACCGCTCCCCCCCCACCGGCCCCCGCTACAGCTCACTTTACTGCCCACCCTTTTCTGTCTGGGCGCCCCTCCCCACCTCTGACCACACATTATGTTCTCCAGTCACAAGCCGCACGGGCCTGTCTCCTCCCCAGCAACACCCTCCAGTGTCCGGGTGGAAGACCCACTTGCTGCCAGGCCGCAGGGTCCCTGACGCCCCCTCGCCTGGTGCTGCCCCTGCGTGCGGTGCGCAGGCCCCACCGCTAGGGTCTGGCCTGGGACACAGCCAGGGCTGTGGGCTCAGAGAGTGGGGGAAGGCGGGCCTGCCGGAGACGGGGCCAGAGCCAGAGGAGGGCAGCAGGGATGCGGGCAGGAGCGTTCTGCCTGTGGTCCTTGGTCGTACGTGGCCCCTCACGGGCAGGGTGTGTTTGGTGGGTGTGTGGGGTAGAGGGAGGGGTCTGGACACCTCGCAGAGAGCAGGCAGCGCCGGGCAGCCAGGCAGGGCTGCCTGAGGGGGAGGCCCGGTGTGGAGCGCCCCCCACGCCTGCTGGCACCACAAACCCTTGTCATCTGTGAGGTGGGAGGTGACTGGGGCCCCAGCCTGCAGCCGCTGTGTGTGCCATGCCCCAGGTCAGGTCGTGTGGGCCAGGTAGGGGGGCAGCGGGGTGGACAGCAGGCTGGGCCGCCCTCTGGCACGGAAGGCCTGGGGCTCTGCATGCCCGAGTCCACTCGCCACTGCCTTCTTGCCTTTGCGGGGCCTTCCTTGAGGATCTGCCCTTGCTGTGTGTGGCCTTACGGGGTGGAATTTCCTGTCCTGTCTCCTCTTGGGACGGCAGGTCATGGACCTTTTCCTTTGACTTTTGTGTTGTTCTGCATCCTCGAAATCGCCTTCAGGGCTGTGTGCTTTGGCCAGAAAGTGATTGGAAAGTCAGTTCCCTATTTGGCCCATAATAATAATACTAATGTTCATGATAATAGTGTTAACGTCTGTGTTGTGGGCTATGACTTACTTTGCACAATCTTTTTTTTCCCTAAAAACTGAGAATTTAGAGTTGGGGAGTCTGTGGTTGAGGAACTCTTTAAGGTCTTATTCAAATAAGATTGGGAGACCAAGGCTGCCAGTGAGGGTAGAGGAGCCGCGATGTTTCTTCCGTGGCCCCTGAGACAGCGCAGCATGTCGGCCTGTCTCCCTGGCACTTTGCTTCTCTACCTGTCCCTCCCTCCTCCAGGCAGAAGCTTTCCAGGTCTGACTGCCGGGGGCTCAGCAAGCACAGGTTCCCTGTGCCCTCGTTGGCTTTCGGAGCAGGCACCACCCCGAGGCCCTCTGCCTCCTTTCTGATCGTGTGGTGAGGCATTCTCGACCCTTCCTTGGGAGGCCGCTGTTCTTAGCAGCGGGAAGTAGGAGACGAGGGCTCTCAGGGCCCAGCAGAGTGCTAGGGGCAGGCCCGAGGCGCGCTTCCAGTGGCCTGCGGAGCGGCTTCCGAGGAGGACGCCCATGTGCAGATGCACGTAGCCTTCCCTTCCCTTCCCTGAGAGCCTTGCTCTTAACCCGGCGGAGTCTCTGCCTCCCCACGTCAGACACGCGAGGGCCCAGGAAGCACCAGTGCTCTTCAGTGACGTGTCTGGGGGTGGTGGTGGTGGTCCCTGCCTGTGTAAGGCCGGGGGGGGCATGTTCCCGCCCCCAACCCTGTGCCCTCTGCTCACTTCGCAGTCCCAGCTCTGCCACTTCCACTCGGCCCTGCTGCAGGGCAGGCTGAAGCCCTGGCCATCCCCCACTGCCTTCTTCAGGAGAAACCTCGGGGCACCGCCTGCAAGGTGGTGAGTTGGCCACGGGCACCCTCCAGGGCATGTGCCCCTCATCAGGAGGGGCGACCTCCGTTGGGGGGCCGTGCCTTCTCTACGCCACCCGCAAGACGGGACGCACCTGCTCCCACGTGCAGTGCGCTGGCCGCCCCACCGCCAGGGTCCTGGCCTGGGCCTCGGCCAGAGCTGTGGGCTCAGAGAGTGGGGGAGGGCGGGCCAGAGCGAGAGCGGGAGCAAGGGGTTGGAGGGCCGAGTGGGCAGCGGGCAGGATGGAGCCCGCTTGGAGCCCTGGGGTCTGGGGGGCTGTGGGGCTCAGGCGAGGTGACTCGGACCCGGAGGTCAGAGAGTACTGTGGTGACCACACAGGCGTCCGGAGTCGGTGCTGCCTGCCGAGGTCCTGGTGAGGCTGCAGCGGCTGTGGGCTGGGCCCGGAGAGCCAAGGCCGGAGGGGCCGGGGCAGACGGGAAGTAACCCAGGCCATGCGCCTGTCGTCTTCCAGGCCCTCGAGACCGCAGCCCCTGTGGAAGAAGGCACTCTCCGCCACGGTGCTGGGGGTGCCCCTGCTCCTCGGGGCGAGGTACCTCATGGCTGAGCCACAGGAGAGGAGGCGGATGCGGCTCGTGGTGGACGGCATCGGGCGCTTCAGCAGGTAGGGGGCCGACAAGGTGGCGGCTTCTCCCCACTGCGTCCCGTCCTCAGGCGTGCGGGGCCTTGTGCGGGGGCTGGGAGGGGCAGCAGGGTTTTGCTGGGAACTCTGAAGCTGCCTTCCAGGGATCTCTTGTGCTGCCCAGTGGGGCAGCCGAGCGCTGCGGGGCCCACGCCATCCACGCTGGGCATGGCCTCCGCAGACCCCACCTCAGGCCTCCGCCCCATCTCCTTTCGGGCTGCCCACCACTCCCAAGGAGGGTTGGCATATCCAGACGGAGAGTTTGGGGCTCACGGGGGGCGGCTCACAGGGGAGGACTGCCTCTCGCCTCCACTCCCGGTGTCCTGGACTAGTGACGGGCCTTGTTGGTCATTGGCGTCCAGGGCGCCTTAAGCAGAAGGGTCTCTCATACTCCTGTATCTCCCGGGGCAGGATTCTGGGGGTGTGGGGCGGTCTTCCCATTGGAGCAGCTTGAGCAGGCATTCCTGCTCCAGTCAGATCCAGGAATTCCTACAGCCACAGGGTCTTGAGAGCTAGTTCTTGGCACTGAGTGAAACTTCAGCTTACCCAAACCCATGGTTGGACTGGGGGTGCACGATTGCCTGGGGAGGGGGCTCACGTGAGACCTTGGTTGAGGAGGCCGCTGCAAGTGTCCTGCTCTGCCAGCTCTGAGCTCCTGCTGCCCTTTGGGAGCCTGGGTCGGTTTCCCAGGGCAGGCTCAGGATGCCAAGGACTTGGGGCACTTGGCCGAAGCTTTGCTGAAATTTACCCCAGTGGCAGCCATAGGTGGGCAGATGGCCAAACGCTTTACCTCATTCCATCTTCGGGATGAAACAAGGCCTTCTGTCTTCAGCTCGCTGGCAGTGGCTGTACCCACGCCGTCTTCCAGGGTGGTGGTTTGATGGGTTTGCCTGGAGCTCCCAGTTGCCCTCCTGGGCAGGTTCTAGGCAGTGGCCTCTGTGTCCTGCAGGGTTTCCCAGTCTCTACAGCCTAGAGATTGATGAGGGCAGAGCCTGGGGTTGGCTCTCCTGTGGCTTTCCACCATGAGGGACCGCACAGGACCGGTGGGGACTGTCCCCAAGCAGCCTGGCTCTGAAGATCACGCTGAGCAGGTCTGGGCCATCTCACCTTCGGCTGCTGCGTATGCGCTGCTGTTTCCCAGCACTAGATACCCCGTGGCAGACTCAGTATACCCCTGCCTTCTCCACTTCCCTCCTGAAAAGGGTATTTTCACAGCTTGCTTTCAGAGGCTGAGCTAGAGCTATTTTCCCAACAATCTGTGTGGTCTCGTCAGCTCTCAGCCCTAACAGTTGCCAGGACAGGCAGGCCTGATGGAGCACCCCTGGCTGGGCGCAGGGTGACCATGGGGCCTCTGGAGACCTCGGGGCCCACAGCGCGTCCTGGGTAACAGGGCAACGTACGTGCAGGAGCCCAAGGAAGGAGCGTGGGTGGTGAGTAATTCAGGACCAGCTCGCCCAAGGGCAGCGGGGCTCATCCTGTTGTGGGAGGGGAGACCAGAATGTACCACACACGCCCAGGCTCACTCACAGGGGCTGGGGTGGTGGAGGGTGGCATCGGGGTCCATTTCTGCCCCCACGCCTTACTTAATTTTAACTTTTAAAAATCCTGTGGGCTTTTTTTGGACACAATTTCAAATGTCCAAAGAAGTTGGACTGATAACATAAAAGAACTCTTTTCTTTTTGAAACATTGACAAATAAGTTGTCAACTTGCCCCATTACCCCTGAAACCTTGAGTTATTTCCTAAACAAGGACATTCTCCTCCACAGCCACAATCGGGAAACTGACACATTGTGACCCTCTAACCCTCAGACCCTGTGTTACCAGGTGCCCCAGTAACAACCTTTTCAGCCCCAGGACCCCACCTGGGCCCATGTCAGTCTCCAGTCTGGAAGAGTCCTAATTGTCTCCTCAGCTCTCATGGCTAAACTCGAGGTCAGGGCATGGCCCCCCAGACCCCCACTTGCCCAGGGCGTCTGACACCAGCTGCAGGTTCCAGCGTCCCCATGGGTTCCCTCACCTCAAACCACTGGCTACAAATTGGGGGGGTCCCCACAGACTCCCTCAGTTTTGATAGTTTCCTAGGACAACTCAGGAGATACTGTACTTATGATTATGGTGTTATCTTAGCAGAAAGATAAAGTCGGAATCAGCAAAAGGAAGAGATGCCCAGGGTGAGGTGAGGTCTGGGAGGGTCCTAGCCTCAGAACTTCATGTCCTCCGACACATCCCCCGCCTCTCATCCCCCTCTGACAGTACACGTGGGTCACCCCCAAGCTTTGGTGTCCAGAGTTTCATCTCATAGCCCTGATTGATTGAAGACCCTGAACTCTAATCCCGTGGTTGTCCTTTCTGGCTGGCAGAGCCCCTCCCTGGTGTGAACCGTCAAGGCTGTTATGCGGCTCCGATGCTGCCGTCACTCAGGAAATCTCATGGGTTTAGAGGCACCTCCCAGGAGCTGGGTAACGTTAATTCTTCGTCACATGATGACCTTGGCGTGTTTGTGGGCAGATAGGCCATAATATTGTACAACAGGGGTCAGCAGACTCTGGCCCTGTGCCAAATACAAGGGTCAGAGGTGCTGCCTGTTCTATAAATAGAGCTCCTTGGAGCGGCAGCCACGCCCCCCTCGCCCTCCTGAGGCTGCCCCTAAGACCCAAAGTATTTATTGTCTAACGTTTTCAAGAAAAATTTTGCCGAGCCCTGATGTGGGTTTGTCTGATGTTTACTCCCAGTGTGTCCCATTGTTTCGCTCTTTGCTTCCCTTGTCCTTTGATGTGGGTGCCTGTGCCCCTTGCCCCTCTGTCGCTAGTTTAGCGTCCCCAGTACTTCTCGGGTGAACTCATTCCTACCTCTCAGCCGTCCCATCCACCCTGAGGGCTTGTGTTCCACCATAAGGGAAAACTCTGTCCTCCCACGTGTTCCTTCCTCTTGCTTGCGTCAGTCTGGACGGGGACATTTTACTCCGAAGGCTGCTCTCAGTCAGCATCAGTGCTGTGTAGTTGCTGAGACTGGGTTTGGCTCATAGGAGGAGCCCCTCCACCTGGCTTTTAGGACCCTTCTCTCACTTTTTTTTAATTTTAAATATTTATTTATTTATTTAGGCTGCGCCGGGTCTTAGTTGCAGCACACAGGATCTTTAGTTGCGGCACGCAGACTCTTAGCTGTGGCATGCATGCAGGATCTAGTTCCCTGACCAGGGATGGAACCCGGGCCCCCCGCATTGGGAGCACGGAGTCTTAACCGCTGCAGCACCAGGGAAGTCCCCCTCACCCTTCTCTCTTTAAAAAAAAATTTATTTATTTATTTTTGGCTGTGTTGGGTCTTCGTTGCTGTGCGCGGGCTTTTCTATAGTTGCGGCAAGCAGGGGCTACTCTTCGTTGCGCTGTGCGGGCTTCTCATTGCGGTGGCTTCTCTTGTTGTGGAGCATGGGCTCTAGGCACGTGGGTTCAGTAGTTGCAGCATGCGGGCTCTAGAGCGCAGGCTCAGTAGTTGTGGCGCACGGGCTTAGTCGCTCTGCGGCATGTGGGATCTTCCCAGACCAGGGCTCAAACCTGTGTCCCCTGCATTGGCAGGCAGATTCTTAACCGCTGAGCCACCAGGGAAGCCCCTGACCCTTCTCTTTTAATCTCCAGCATCTGACTGTAAATTGTTTCAAACGTACAGCAGAGCTGGTGAGTCTGGCTTTTATCGATAGCATCTCGGAACCCTTCCAATGCCCTCCGTCCTTTGAGCATTTTACTCCAGCTGGCAGCACAGTCACTCCAGGCTCAGCCTTGGAAGCAGCCAGTCTCCCGATGGTTCTTCGGGGTGGAGCAGGGGCTCGGGGGCCACGGTGAGGATGCCGGTGTGCTCGCCACTCTGGGCTGTTTGCCCCAGACTCCTCCGTGGACAAGGGCTGCGGGTGTGCGCACGTGTACACGCCCAGGGCCATATGTTTGCTTCTGTGGCCAGCCATCGACGGCAAACCCGCTCTTCCATTTCCCACACGGGTCGTTCTGGTTTTCTCCCTTTCTGTGTCTGTAACTCCTTCTCCAACTGGGAGAAGCCCGGCTCCCCTTGTCCCTAATTTACTGACCTATTAGCTAGGCCACCCCGAGTATAGCCATCACCCCACTGCCGTCACCTGCACCCCTACCCTCACTCCTGTGCAGACCTTGCATTAGCTTTTGGACGAATTATTCAGGAAGGAGGGCAGCTCCTCTTTGGGTCTCGGGGTGCTCAGAGAAATCCTGTCTCCTTGCTCACCCTGCCTCACACAGACAGCCCTGTTTGCTTCCTGTGTCAGGCTGGGGTGGGTGGGACAGACCCGGTTCGTGGCACTCAGTCTGGGCTGACCTCATTGCTCTAAGACACCGGTCTCTACAGCTGCTGGGAGGGCAGGAAGCCTGTGCAGGATCTGGCAGCCTCTTCCTTCCCACCTTTTCATCCTGGCCCCTCGTGGCGGAGGGGCTGGAACAGGATATGCTGGGGCGGGCGGAGGCTTGGCCTGCACCGGGGCCCCGAGAAGCAGGAGCCCCACACCCTGCTCGTGACGGTTTGAGGGGCTGGGGTCTGCGGCACTGGAGGCCTGGATTCTGGTCCTGGATCCTCCCCTCTCCAGACCCAGGGCCGCCTTGTCCGTAGCCTGGGGCGTGGGAGTGAGCGAGGACCCCTGCCCACACCAGAAGGCCTGGGCCTGCGGGACTTCCCAGGGCCGTGCCCTCAGCCGGGAGAGCAGGCTCCAGCTCTGGGGTTTGAGCCCCAGGGGCTCCTGTCCACTCCAGTCGGAGTGCAGAGGAGACAGGACCAGTGGTGCAGGGGGGCCTGAGCGAGGGCATGTCCACAGACGGAGCAGCCATTGCAGCTGTGCTAGCTCGTGGATGGATTTTCTTGTGTAACAAGTGTTATCAAAGGATGAAAAGAGCACGCCCGCTTGTTAGGGCCCGAGGCCCCCGTTCCCGTCCCAGGTGCCCCTGGGTGCACGTTCAGGGGCTGAGGGGTGGTGTAGATGCAGGATGCCCAGTCCACAGCCCAGCGGCTGAGACTGACCTGCTGGCCACACGTCCCGAGAGGCCAGCAGCCCCGCCAGGTGCTCACAGCGGTCCGGGGTGCTGGCGGGGGTCTGAGGCGAGTGCCCGCTGGGGCTGAGGGCAGCCTGTGCCCACAGGTCTTTGAGGGTCGGCCTGCAGATCTCCCTGGACTACTGGTGGTGCACAAATGTCGTCCTGCGAGGGGTGGAGGAGGTTTGTTCCTGCGTCCTGGCCTGGCTGGTCCTGGCCTGCGGCCTGCGGGGATGGGGGTGCCCAGGTGGAGGTGCCCGCCCGCCCCCATCCCTTCCCTCTATACCTGTGGTCAGAACAGCCCGGGGTACTTGGAGGTGATGTCTGCATGTCACCAGCGGGCGGCTGACGCCCTGGTGGCTGGGGCCATCAGCAACGGGGGCCTCTACGTGAAGCTGGGCCAGGGGCTGTGCTCCTTCAACCACCTGCTGCCCCCCGAGTACATCAAGACACTGCGGGTGCTGGAGGACAGGGCTCTCACGCGGGGCTTCCGGGAGGTGAGCCCTTCTCGCGGGAGCGTGGAGGCAGGAAGCGGCCGCAGGCTGCTCCGAGCCATGGCCCCCACCCCACCCCACTGTCCTGCCAGGTGGACGAGCTGTTCCTCGAAGACTTCCGGGCCCCGCCCCACGAGCTCTTCCAGGAGTTTGACTACCAGCCCATCGCGGCGGCGAGCCTGGCCCAGGTGCACCGCGCCAGGCTGCACGACGGCACCGTGGTGGCCGTGAAGGTATACGCGGGGCCCCCGTGGGGCACCGCGGGGGGCACCCGGGCGCCGGTGGCCAGTCCTCCCTGCAGCCTCCCGTGCAGGTGCAGTACATCGACCTGCGGGACCGCTTCGACGGCGACATCCACACCCTGGAGCTCCTGCTGCAGCTCGTTGAGCTCATGCACCCCAGCTTCGGCTTCAGCTGGGTCCTCCAGGTAACCGTGGGGGCCCGAGGGGGCCGGGGGTGGGCCGCCTCCTGACCTGGACCTCCAGCTGCCCATGTGGCCCCCAGGACCTGAAGGGGACCCTGGCCCAGGAGCTGGACTTTGAGAACGAGGGCCGCAATGCCGAGCGCTGTGCACGGGAGCTGCAGCACTTCCGCTATGTCGTGGTGCCACGCGTGCACTGGGACGTGTCCAGCAAGGTGGGCTGGGTCCCCTCCTGGGCGGGGATGTGCAGGCCTGCTGAGCTGAGGCACCTGTCCTCTCCCAGCGCGTGCTGACGGCGGAATTCTGTGAGGGCTGCAAGGTCAACGACGTGGAGGCCATCAAGACCATGGGGCTGGCAGTGCGGGATGTGAGTGCTGCGGCCCGGGGCGGGGAGGGTGCGTGTGCTGTGGGCCCAGAATGATGGCCTGCGGCCTGTCCTGTCCCCAGGTCGCAGAGAAACTGATCCAGGCCTTTGCCGAGCAGATATTTTACACAGGCTTCGTCCACTCCGACCCCCACCCTGGCAATGGTAGGCAAAGGCCGCAGGGGGTGGGAGTTGGGTCTGGGGTCAGGGTGCGGCGGTGTGAGACGGCGTGCCCTGTCCCTAGTCCTGGTGCGGAAAGGCCCCGATGGGAAGGGACAGCTGGTGCTGCTGGACCACGGGCTGTACCAGTTCCTGGATGAGAAGTAAGCTGGGGGTGCGGGGGCTGGGTAGGCACACCCCGCCCTGCAGGCCGGCCTCCCCCCCCCCCCCCCCGCTCATTGCTGGGCCCCCCAGGGATCGGTCAGCCCTGTGCCAGCTGTGGCGGGCCGTCATTCTGAGGGACGAGGCTGCCATGAAGGCGCACGCGGCTGAGCTCGGGGTGCAAGGTGAGGCCGGGGTGGGTGTGAGGCGGGGAAGGGGGCACAGCCCTGGCTCAGGCCCCCCCAGACTACTTCCTGTTCTCCGAGGTGCTCATGCAGCGGCCTGTGCGCCTGGGGCAGCTGTGGCGCTCACACCTGCTGAGCCGTGAGGAGGCGGCCTACATGCAGGACATGGCGCGGGAGCACTTCGAGGAGGTCATGGCCGTGCTCAAGGCCCTGCCGCGGTCCATGCTGCTCGTGCTGCGCAACCTCAACACCGTGCGCGCCATCAACACCGCCCTGGGCGCCCCAGTGGACCGCTACTTCCTCATGGCCAAGAGGTGCTGGTCCCCACCCCGCGCGTGCGCACAGGAGGGGGCGGAGCCAGGAGGCGGGGCTGACGGCCTGTTGGTCGGTGGTCTCTGTGCAGCGCAGTCCGGGGCTGGAGCCGCCTGGCGGGCGCCACGTGCCAGAACACCTATGGTGCCAGCCTCCTGCGCCACATCAGGGTCATCTGGGAGTCGTTCAAGTTTGAAGTGGCCCTGAGGTGAGCAGGCGCGCGGGGTCCGAAGGGCGGGTAGCCAGGCCCCACCCCCCACCAACCTGCGACCCCTTGATTCCCCCACCCCAGGCTGGAGACCCTGTCGATGCGGATCACTGCCCTCCTGGTCCGAGTCCTGGTCCACCTGGGCCTCATGCCCAAGACCAAGGGGCTGTACGAGTACCTGGAGATCTAGGGAGCCCCGGCAGGAGGACCACAGAGCTCGCCCCACTGCAGGCTGAGGGGCCGGCCAGGGCCAAGGCACAGACGCCTAAGAAAGACCTGGGGGCACTGGAGTGACTGACTGTGGCCTGGAGTTGGGCCTGAAATGACCACATGCTCTTCTCAATCAAACAAATGTTTTTCTTTGTGTTTTGTACAAAAGCGGGGTTGGGAAAGTGGCAGTATCCAGGGGTCTAGAAGTGGGCAGTGACTCGGTCCGTCTCCAACAGGTCGTCCAGGATCTGTGGGGAGAGAGGTGGGTGAGGGCAGGGGGCAGGGGGTGGGGTGGGGGTGGCTGGGGGCACGTGGAGGGGCAGGGCGGCGGGCGGCTCACGATGTCGGGCGTGGTGCCAATCTTCTTGGCCAGCTCCCCGCGCTCCATGGTGCTCAGGTACAGGTAGCGGTTGAGCAGCTCCCCATCCAGGACATTGCGCACTGCATTCTGTAGGACGCGCCGGTCCACGTGCAGCATCCTGGGGGTAGGCACGGAGGCAGTGAAGAGTCGGGACAGATGCGGGGTGGTGGGAGAGGGGGCGGGGCGGCGGCAGGCTCACCGGAAGGCACGCGGGTTGAGGCCGGCGTGGTGGGGCAGCATGGTGGTCAGTGCGTTCTGCAGCATCAGCAGCCGCCGGTAGGTCTTCTCCTGCATGGGCAGCAGGAGGCCGATGCCGCCGTCCAGCGTGGCTAAAGCGGACACGGTGTGAGCCCCGTGGGCCCCCACCACGCCCCACTGCCACCTCAACCCCCTCCGCCCCACACTCACCAAACCACGTGATGTGCTTATTCTCCCACACAACGGACTTCTTGCTGGGCCCTTCAGCAGCCCCCCGGCAGGGGGTCCTCCAGAACGTGTTCACGTGGGCGCCCACGTGGAAGTCCGCCCGGCGCAGCAGCCGCATGCCCCCGAAGCTCTCCTTGGCTGGGCCAGAGGGACCTCAGGTCACTGCCTGCCCGGCCCCATGCCCGACCCCCCTGACCAGGAGAGGGTGGAGGGGACACTCACCTTCTGGCAGGTACATGTAGACCATGAGGTTGCGGTCACGGTCAGACACTAGGGAACAGAGCCCACAGTCAGCCCCAGCCCCAGTGACGTCCCGGGGACCCCAGCCCCCATGCTCACCCAGGAAGCCCAGCTGTGCACTGTCCACCATGAAGTCCACGCTGTATACTTCCAGGGGTTTGGCGTCCTGAGGACGGGAGGGGAGGGGAGGGACGGACGTCAGGGTGGGCCTGGGGCAGCACTCACCCACCCGCCGTGCAGCCCAGCCCCTCGGTACCCGGGACACGAGGCTCAGCGTCTTGCTCTCCTCCTGGTAGCGCAGCAGCGAGATGCTCTTCATGACGTCCGCGGCCAGGATGAAGTTCTTGACGCTGATCATCTGGTGGATGTAGAGCTGTGTGTCGATGAAGGCCATGCCTGTCAGCTCGCTGGCCCGCAGGCTCCACAGGAAGATCTGGGGGGTGGGAGGGGTGGGCGGTGAGTGATGGGCAGTGAGCGGTGGGTGCCAGGGTGGGCGGAGAGGGGCACACCTTCTGGCCGATGGCCGACACCAGGTGGCCGTTGCAGTGGCACAGGGCAGTCACGGGCCCCTTCTGCTCCTTCTCGTACAAGACCTTGAACTTGTTCTTGGTCAGGGGCTGGCCAGGCTCGGGCACCACCTCGATCACGTCCATGATCAGGATCTGTCAGGGAAGGCGGGTGGGTGATTCACAGGGGCTGCGTGCAGGCCGCTGGGCACTGCCTGCCTCCCACCCCCTGCCGGCCGCTTACCCGCCCTCGGCACGTGACCTCCTCCCCTTGCATGAGGCAGGTCCCGGCGGCTACGTAGCCCTTGAGGCCGGACACGGTTTCCTCACTGCGCAGCGACACCGTCTTCATGCAGGTCACATGCTCCCACTCCTCTAGCTCGATCCTGCATCAGCCCAGGTCAGGACAGCAGCCCAGGTCAGGACAGCTGCCCAGGTCGGGACAGCAGCCCAGGTCGGGACAGCAGCCCAGGTCAGGACAGCTAGCCCAGGTCAGGACAGCTGCCCAGGTCGGGACAGCAGCCCAGGTCAGGACAGCTGCCCAGGTCGGGACAGCAGCCCAGGTCGGGACAGCTAGCCCAGGTCAGGACAGCTGCCCAGGTCGGGACAGCAGCCCAGGTCAGGACAGCAGCCCAGGTCAAGACAGCCCAGGTCAGGACAGCTGCCCAGGTCGGGACAGGAGCCCAGGTCGGGACAGCTAACCCAGGTCGGGACAGCTAGCCCAGGTCGGGACAGCTAACCCAGGTCGGGACAGCTAACCCAGGTCGGGACAGCTAACCCAAGTCGGGACAGCAGCCCAGACCGGGACAGCAGCCCAGGCCAGCCACCAGCCCCGACCTGGGCCCAGCCTCACCTGGCGTTGGGGATGGCCTCCCAGCTGACCGGGGAGATGAGCTGGATGGAGAAGGCCTCCTGCTGAGGGTGGATGTAACGGTCATCTGCACGGACAAAGGGGTGACAGTCAGGGAGGGTGGCCCCGAGAACGGGCCCAGCCTGGGGCACCTCGCACCTCTCTCAATGGTCTCAAACTCCTTCTCCTCGCCCGTCATGCGCGGGATGCGGGTGCACGGCGTGTTGGTGCTGGTGGCAACAGCATACACCTGGTGGAGGGGACGGCGGGGAGGGTGTCACATGCCAGAGGCCAGGCCCCCAGGCCCCAAAGGTCCCTGGTGCGGTGGGGTGGGGGGCGGTGTCAGACCTTGGACTCCACATGGTAAGCCACATAGTGGGCCGTGCAGCGCAGCGGGATCTTCCTGACAGGCCACGGGGCATCGTAGGACAAGTAGGCAGGCAAGACACTGATCCTCAGCTCGCCCTGGGTGGGGCAGGGAGTTAGCGAGGGCTGGCACACCCCAAAGGCCAAGCCGATGAACCCAGGCCTCCAAGGGCTCCCTTGGGTCAGCCCTCAGCTCTGCTGGAATGGGTGGTGAGAGACCGCAGCGTCCAGGCACCACGGCCCACTGTCCTGTGCTTTGTGGGCTTCCCATCCCTTCAGCCAAGCTCGCCCAGGGCTGGGACACTGGCCACAGCTGTGGTCTGGGCCGGGACAAGGGAATAGCCAGGCTCAGGGGGTGCTGGAGGCTGCAGGCGAAGGGTGGGCGGCACACACACAGGCCACACCAGGGTCTGCACAAACAAGCACGGGTGCCCTGCCGGGGCCCCGAGCCAATTTCCTCCGCCCACAGTTGTAAGCGCACCAGCACCTACAAAGCACCTACCACGTCACCATCACTGAGTCCTCAGGGTGCTGACACCTTGGTGACAGGTAAGGAAACTCAGGTTCAGAGAGGGTGAGCATCTCACCCAGTCACACAGCTTCTAAGGGGCAGAGCTGGGGTCCAAGCCAGCAGAGCAGTGACTGGACCCTGGTTGCCCAGGCGGGTGCCCTTGTGGGCTACAGCCTCCAGTCCCGACCTCCCCAACTCGGCCTTGGCTCCCACCACCCTCTGGACACACTCTGACTCTCCATTCCAGGGTGCCCCCATCCCGAGCCACTGAGCGCCTCTTTTCTGGGGCCCCAGCACCTGGTCCTGCTTGGGCAGCATTGGCGAGTGTCAGAGAGCCAGGCTGGGCCGCATGGGGCCTCCCTACCTGTCTGTTGAAGTACAGGAAGCCGCGGGGGCAGTTGACGTTGTGGAATGGGGCGAAGGAGTCGATGGGGCCATCGATGCCCATGGGGTGCAGCCGCAGGGCCCCCCGGCCAGTCACCAGGAGCCAGTGGGGCGAGGGGCCGCAGATGAACACCTGCGGGCAGGCAGTGTGAGGAGGCTGCTGGGGCCGGAGCCCTGTCGGCCGCAGCCCAGGCTCCCTTGGAGCCGCCAGCCTACCCCCGAGTAGCCGTAAATGTCCTCAAAGTAGCGGAACCGCGCCACACGGCCTCGGGCCCCGGCACCCTCCTCAGCGCTGCCGCCTTCGGCCTTCTTCTTGGACGGCTTTGGCTTCTTCTCTCGGAAGTTGATGCTGTGCGGGACCTGGGGGGGCGCCGCGGCCGTGAGGGCCAGGTCCTCCCCGCACCCCTGCTCCACACCCTCCCCACACCCAGCAGAGCCCAGACGCTGCACCTTCTTGAAGCGAACTTTGAGGTTCCCCTGGCCGAGCTGTGAGTCGTGGGGGAAGGCCTCGTACACGAGCAGCTCCTGGTCCACGTGCACCTGGGGGCGGGCGGGTCGTCAGGGGCGGGGGCTGCGCAGAGCCCGGGGGCGGGCGGGGCCACACTCACCAGCAAGTAGGGCCTGCGCTGGCGGCTCCCCAGCGCCACCAGCAGCACCTCCTTGACGAGGGGCAGCTCGCCCTGGCGCGTGGCCTCTTCCTTCCGGGCCTCGCCCTGGGTGGTAGGCTGACCAAAGGAGCTGTCCACCAGGACCCGCTGCCCCACAGGGAAGTTCTTCACCAGGAACACCAGCCGCCAGTCAGGGAGCTGGTAGATCTGCGGGGACAGCAGCAATTAGCTGGGCGGGGCGGGGCACGAGCGGGGGACGGGGGCCACGCTGGACACGGGGCGCCACGCACCTCCATGGTTCCGTTCTCCCGCACCAGCAGGCACCAGTGGGTGGGCTCAGCCCGGAAGGGGGTGGGGTCCCGGTCGGCGGGGGGCTGGCTGCTCCTGCGGGCCTCCTCCTTGCTGGGGCTGAAGAGGGAGCCCGAGTCTCCGTAAAGCATCTCCTCCTCGTCATCCACCGTGGGGCTGGGGGCCAGCAGACACGTCAGTCACAGGCAGCCTGCCCCAGGGGCCCCGGTCCCAGCCTGCAGCCCAGCCCCACACACACCTGGTCTCTGAGCCCTGGCACTCGGCCTCTGAGCCGCTGCGGCCGCCCAGCTCGTCGCGGGCCCCGCCCAGGCGGCTCTCGGTGGTGAACATGCCGCTGACGTCCCGGTACACGCAGAGCGTAATCACCTTGGACTGCTGCGGGGATGGGGGGGGTCAGTGGGGGGGGGCGGGGGGGGGGTCAGCCGGCCCCAGGGACGGAGGAGGGAGCCTACGTGGTGCAGCGGGGGCTTGTGCAGCGCCAGGCGGTGGTGGCGGCCCCCATACGAGTCACTCTTGAGCAGGAACATGGTGACGTGGCCCTCGGCACTCATGATGACCACGTAGGGGTCGGCCACGGCGCACTGCACGATGGGGGAGCCCAGGTCCACGGGGATGAAGTGCAGCTGGTTCACTATGGACACAGGCCTGTCAGCAAAGGGCAGTCGGCACGCACTAGCCCTGGACCCCATCCTGCCTGCCCGTGTGGCCCGGCCCACCTCCTTCCAACAGGCGGATGCCGAGTGGCGACACTTGCACGATGTAGCGATTGTCCCCGATGTTGCCAGCAAAGACTGTGGGGCCCTGCGTGGCGAAGCCGCTGGTGTCCAGCTCCATGATCTCCTGCCCCGTCTGTAGGATCTGTGGGTGACGGTGGGTGATGGTGGGTGAGGTGCAGCCCCCACTGGCGGCCCCCCCGCCCCAGGCTGCCGGGCGGGCCCCATCACCATGGTGGAGTCTTCCCGGCTCAGGATAAGGAAGCCGTGTCTCCGCCCATCGTCATCTGCTTCGGGTGCGCTGGGCTCCTGCTCCGCCCCCTCCCCCTTGGTGCTCTCCTCCTGTGAAGGCAGAAGGAGAGCAGGAATCCCACCGCCCAGCCCCAGGTGCCCGGAGCGCCGAGCCACAGCAAGCCCGTGGCCAAGCCCGCCTGAGCTGTAGATTGGCAGAGCCTGGTGCTGGGACCAGCAGCCTCTAGGCCACCCACACACAGGCCAGGTGGGCAGCAGCTCTGGGCCCCCGCACCGCCCAGGCCTCGCCAACCTGGGGCGCACCTACCTGCTCCTTCCGCACAGGGGCGATGACTGTCCACATGTCATAGCAGCCAGGAAGCTCAAAGGTTGTCACCACCTGGGGCCGGATGCTCTTCTGGAAGGACACGAGGGGTGTCAGCAAGAGCACCCGGGCCCGCCAGGAGGCGCCACCCCTGCCCCCCACACACCTGCAGCACCGACAGGGCCCCGTTCTTCCCGTAGCCGGAGCACACCACGATCTCCAGGTCTGGCTCGGGACTGTTCTGAAACTGCATGGCGGGCAGGGGGGTGAGGACGGCACCTCCCTGCTGTGCAACCTGCCCCACCACCACCTCGCCCCCGAGCGGGCACCTCTTCAGAGAGGAAGGCGGGCTCGCCCATGGCGGCGTTGGCACAGGGTCCGATGTTGAGGATGCTGTCACACACCTGCGGGCACAGCAGTGGTCAGGCGGGCAGGCGGGGCAGGCGGTGACCCCTCTATGCCCAGGCTCACCTCAAAGGAGTAAGTGGCCAGCTGTGTGCCTGACTGGGCCTCGCTGCCGTACACCTCAATCTCGTCCACCTCGTCCTGCGGCACTGACTTGCCCCCTACAGCATGTGGAAAGGCCACCTGAGCCCACCTGGCTGCCCAGTCCAGCCCCCGCCCTCGGCCCTCACCTGATGGCCCTCACCTGACCAGCCCGCTGTGGCGTCCACGCGCTTCTTCTTGGAGGGCGGCTCCTCCTGTGAGGCAGGTGGGGTGGTGAGCAGCCCCCGAGGCCACCCCGCATGGGAGGGCAGCATCCCCACAGTCCCCGTACCCACCTTGTCGGCAACCTCCCGGGCGGTGCCGGCCGGGGGCTCCTGCAGCTTTTCCGTGTACTTGAGGAGCAGGGAGTTGCCCAGGCGAGAGCCAAGGAACAGGTATCCGGGCTCCATGGTGACCATCTGAAGGTAGGACGGGGGTGAGGGCGGGGCCCAGTCCAGACCCGGGGCCGCCCCCCCGAGACCCCACTCACACTAGTGGTGAGGACGCTGGCGGCGGCCTTGTCGAAGTGGAAGGCGCGGACGCTGCGCATGCCGTCCGTGATAAGCGTCAGCACGTAGCTGCCGGGAGGGACACGCTGAGCTGGCGCGGGGGACCCACACCACCCGCCAGAGAGGACGGGGCTCCCTGGAGTGGGAGACTCACATCTCGCCGCCCTTGAGGGAGATGACCATCTTGTCGTAGGAGATGAAGGCTGCCTGGGCACAGTCCAGGGTGATCCGCACACCCTCCTGGGTGCCTGTGGTGGGGAGTCAGCCGGACCCAGCAGCCTCCCGCCCCCCCCCGGACAGCAGCCCAGGTCAGGACAGCTGCCCAGGTCGGGACAGCAGCCCAGGTCGGGACAGCAGCCCAGGTCAGGACAGCTAGCCCAGGTCAGGACAGCTGCCCAGGTCGGGACAGCAGCCCAGGTCAGGACAGCTGCCCAGGTCGGGACAGCAGCCCAGGTCGGGACAGCTAGCCCAGGTCAGGACAGCTGCCCAGGTCGGGACAGCAGCCCAGGTCAGGACAGCAGCCCAGGTCAAGACAGCCCAGGTCAGGACAGCTGCCCAGGTCGGGACAGGAGCCCAGGTCGGGACAGCTAACCCAGGTCGGGACAGCTAGCCCAGGTCGGGACAGCTAACCCAGGTCGGGACAGCTAACCCAGGTCGGGACAGCTAACCCAAGTCGGGACAGCAGCCCAGACCGGGACAGCAGCCCAGGCCAGCCACCAGCCCCGACCTGGGCCCAGCCTCACCTGGCGTTGGGGATGGCCTCCCAGCTGACCGGGGAGATGAGCTGGATGGAGAAGGCCTCCTGCTGAGGGTGGATGTAACGGTCATCTGCACGGACAAAGGGGTGACAGTCAGGGAGGGTGGCCCCGAGAACGGGCCCAGCCTGGGGCACCTCGCACCTCTCTCAATGGTCTCAAACTCCTTCTCCTCGCCCGTCATGCGCGGGATGCGGGTGCACGGCGTGTTGGTGCTGGTGGCAACAGCATACACCTGGTGGAGGGGACGGCGGGGAGGGTGTCACATGCCAGAGGCCAGGCCCCCAGGCCCCAAAGGTCCCTGGTGCGGTGGGGTGGGGGGCGGTGTCAGACCTTGGACTCCACATGGTAAGCCACATAGTGGGCCGTGCAGCGCAGCGGGATCTTCCTGACAGGCCACGGGGCATCGTAGGACAAGTAGGCAGGCAAGACACTGATCCTCAGCTCGCCCTGGGTGGGGCAGGGAGTTAGCGAGGGCTGGCACACCCCAAAGGCCAAGCCGATGAACCCAGGCCTCCAAGGGCTCCCTTGGGTCAGCCCTCAGCTCTGCTGGAATGGGTGGTGAGAGACCGCAGCGTCCAGGCACCACGGCCCACTGTCCTGTGCTTTGTGGGCTTCCCATCCCTTCAGCCAAGCTCGCCCAGGGCTGGGACACTGGCCACAGCTGTGGTCTGGGCCGGGACAAGGGAATAGCCAGGCTCAGGGGGTGCTGGAGGCTGCAGGCGAAGGGTGGGCGGCACACACACAGGCCACACCAGGGTCTGCACAAACAAGCACGGGTGCCCTGCCGGGGCCCCGAGCCAATTTCCTCCGCCCACAGTTGTAAGCGCACCAGCACCTACAAAGCACCTACCACGTCACCATCACTGAGTCCTCAGGGTGCTGACACCTTGGTGACAGGTAAGGAAACTCAGGTTCAGAGAGGGTGAGCATCTCACCCAGTCACACAGCTTCTAAGGGGCAGAGCTGGGGTCCAAGCCAGCAGAGCAGTGACTGGACCCTGGTTGCCCAGGCGGGTGCCCTTGTGGGCTACAGCCTCCAGTCCCGACCTCCCCAACTCGGCCTTGGCTCCCACCACCCTCTGGACACACTCTGACTCTCCATTCCAGGGTGCCCCCATCCCGAGCCACTGAGCGCCTCTTTTCTGGGGCCCCAGCACCTGGTCCTGCTTGGGCAGCATTGGCGAGTGTCAGAGAGCCAGGCTGGGCCGCATGGGGCCTCCCTACCTGTCTGTTGAAGTACAGGAAGCCGCGGGGGCAGTTGACGTTGTGGAATGGGGCGAAGGAGTCGATGGGGCCATCGATGCCCATGGGGTGCAGCCGCAGGGCCCCCCGGCCAGTCACCAGGAGCCAGTGGGGCGAGGGGCCGCAGATGAACACCTGCGGGCAGGCAGTGTGAGGAGGCTGCTGGGGCCGGAGCCCTGTCGGCCGCAGCCCAGGCTCCCTTGGAGCCGCCAGCCTACCCCCGAGTAGCCGTAAATGTCCTCAAAGTAGCGGAACCGCGCCACACGGCCTCGGGCCCCGGCACCCTCCTCAGCGCTGCCGCCTTCGGCCTTCTTCTTGGACGGCTTTGGCTTCTTCTCTCGGAAGTTGATGCTGTGCGGGACCTGGGGGGGCGCCGCGGCCGTGAGGGCCAGGTCCTCCCCGCACCCCTGCTCCACACCCTCCCCACACCCAGCAGAGCCCAGACGCTGCACCTTCTTGAAGCGAACTTTGAGGTTCCCCTGGCCGAGCTGTGAGTCGTGGGGGAAGGCCTCGTACACGAGCAGCTCCTGGTCCACGTGCACCTGGGGGCGGGCGGGTCGTCAGGGGCGGGGGCTGCGCAGAGCCCGGGGGCGGGCGGGGCCACACTCACCAGCAAGTAGGGCCTGCGCTGGCGGCTCCCCAGCGCCACCAGCAGCACCTCCTTGACGAGGGGCAGCTCGCCCTGGCGCGTGGCCTCTTCCTTCCGGGCCTCGCCCTGGGTGGTAGGCTGACCAAAGGAGCTGTCCACCAGGACCCGCTGCCCCACAGGGAAGTTCTTCACCAGGAACACCAGCCGCCAGTCAGGGAGCTGGTAGATCTGCGGGGACAGCAGCAATTAGCTGGGCGGGGCGGGGCACGAGCGGGGGACGGGGGCCACGCTGGACACGGGGCGCCACGCACCTCCATGGTTCCGTTCTCCCGCACCAGCAGGCACCAGTGGGTGGGCTCAGCCCGGAAGGGGGTGGGGTCCCGGTCGGCGGGGGGCTGGCTGCTCCTGCGGGCCTCCTCCTTGCTGGGGCTGAAGAGGGAGCCCGAGTCTCCGTAAAGCATCTCCTCCTCGTCATCCACCGTGGGGCTGGGGGCCAGCAGACACGTCAGTCACAGGCAGCCTGCCCCAGGGGCCCCGGTCCCAGCCTGCAGCCCAGCCCCACACACACCTGGTCTCTGAGCCCTGGCACTCGGCCTCTGAGCCGCTGCGGCCGCCCAGCTCGTCGCGGGCCCCGCCCAGGCGGCTCTCGGTGGTGAACATGCCGCTGACGTCCCGGTACACGCAGAGCGTAATCACCTTGGACTGCTGCGGGGATGGGGGGGGTCAGTGGGGGGGGGCGGGGGGGGGGTCAGCCGGCCCCAGGGACGGAGGAGGGAGCCTACGTGGTGCAGCGGGGGCTTGTGCAGCGCCAGGCGGTGGTGGCGGCCCCCATACGAGTCACTCTTGAGCAGGAACATGGTGACGTGGCCCTCGGCACTCATGATGACCACGTAGGGGTCGGCCACGGCGCACTGCACGATGGGGGAGCCCAGGTCCACGGGGATGAAGTGCAGCTGGTTCACTATGGACACAGGCCTGTCAGCAAAGGGCAGTCGGCACGCACTAGCCCTGGACCCCATCCTGCCTGCCCGTGTGGCCCGGCCCACCTCCTTCCAACAGGCGGATGCCGAGTGGCGACACTTGCACGATGTAGCGATTGTCCCCGATGTTGCCAGCAAAGACTGTGGGGCCCTGCGTGGCGAAGCCGCTGGTGTCCAGCTCCATGATCTCCTGCCCCGTCTGTAGGATCTGTGGGTGACGGTGGGTGATGGTGGGTGAGGTGCAGCCCCCACTGGCGGCCCCCCCGCCCCAGGCTGCCGGGCGGGCCCCATCACCATGGTGGAGTCTTCCCGGCTCAGGATAAGGAAGCCGTGTCTCCGCCCATCGTCATCTGCTTCGGGTGCGCTGGGCTCCTGCTCCGCCCCCTCCCCCTTGGTGCTCTCCTCCTGTGAAGGCAGAAGGAGAGCAGGAATCCCACCGCCCAGCCCCAGGTGCCCGGAGCGCCGAGCCACAGCAAGCCCGTGGCCAAGCCCGCCTGAGCTGTAGATTGGCAGAGCCTGGTGCTGGGACCAGCAGCCTCTAGGCCACCCACACACAGGCCAGGTGGGCAGCAGCTCTGGGCCCCCGCACCGCCCAGGCCTCGCCAACCTGGGGCGCACCTACCTGCTCCTTCCGCACAGGGGCGATGACTGTCCACATGTCATAGCAGCCAGGAAGCTCAAAGGTTGTCACCACCTGGGGCCGGATGCTCTTCTGGAAGGACACGAGGGGTGTCAGCAAGAGCACCCGGGCCCGCCAGGAGGCGCCACCCCTGCCCCCCACACACCTGCAGCACCGACAGGGCCCCGTTCTTCCCGTAGCCGGAGCACACCACGATCTCCAGGTCTGGCTCGGGACTGTTCTGAAACTGCATGGCGGGCAGGGGGGTGAGGACGGCACCTCCCTGCTGTGCAACCTGCCCCACCACCACCTCGCCCCCGAGCGGGCACCTCTTCAGAGAGGAAGGCGGGCTCGCCCATGGCGGCGTTGGCACAGGGTCCGATGTTGAGGATGCTGTCACACACCTGCGGGCACAGCAGTGGTCAGGCGGGCAGGCGGGGCAGGCGGTGACCCCTCTATGCCCAGGCTCACCTCAAAGGAGTAAGTGGCCAGCTGTGTGCCTGACTGGGCCTCGCTGCCGTACACCTCAATCTCGTCCACCTCGTCCTGCGGCACTGACTTGCCCCCTACAGCATGTGGAAAGGCCACCTGAGCCCACCTGGCTGCCCAGTCCAGCCCCCGCCCTCGGCCCTCACCTGATGGCCCTCACCTGACCAGCCCGCTGTGGCGTCCACGCGCTTCTTCTTGGAGGGCGGCTCCTCCTGTGAGGCAGGTGGGGTGGTGAGCAGCCCCCGAGGCCACCCCGCATGGGAGGGCAGCATCCCCACAGTCCCCGTACCCACCTTGTCGGCAACCTCCCGGGCGGTGCCGGCCGGGGGCTCCTGCAGCTTTTCCGTGTACTTGAGGAGCAGGGAGTTGCCCAGGCGAGAGCCAAGGAACAGGTATCCGGGCTCCATGGTGACCATCTGAAGGTAGGACGGGGGTGAGGGCGGGGCCCAGTCCAGACCCGGGGCCGCCCCCCCGAGACCCCACTCACACTAGTGGTGAGGACGCTGGCGGCGGCCTTGTCGAAGTGGAAGGCGCGGACGCTGCGCATGCCGTCCGTGATAAGCGTCAGCACGTAGCTGCCGGGAGGGACACGCTGAGCTGGCGCGGGGGACCCACACCACCCGCCAGAGAGGACGGGGCTCCCTGGAGTGGGAGACTCACATCTCGCCGCCCTTGAGGGAGATGACCATCTTGTCGTAGGAGATGAAGGCTGCCTGGGCACAGTCCAGGGTGATCCGCACACCCTCCTGGGTGCCTGTGGTGGGGAGTCAGCCGGACCCAGCAGCCTCCCGCCCCCCCCCCACACCCCTCGGCCCCGGCACCCCGACACTCACGCAGGGGAAAGGCAGTGGTGCCGGTGGTGAGGCTGTTGAGGGCCACGCCGTAGGGGGGGACGCTCTGGTTCAGGTACAGCAGCGAGTTGACAGCAAAGACCACCACCCCGCCTGGAGGTGGACACGCTGGTGGGTGGGGCCCAGCGCTCTCCATACCCACCCCCTCCAAGCAGCCCCACCTCACCTATGGGCTTGGGCACGGCAAGGGCCTGGGTGCAGTCAAAAGGCAGGCTGGTGAGGGACCAGATGACGGGGTGGACCTTCTGCGTGATGTTCAGCGAAATGGCCACAATGGAGCACGTGTCCTGCCGCACAGCCACCCGCCTGGGACCAGGACAGCGCGTCAGTCCCCAGTCCCGCCCCACAGAGACTCGCCTGGCTCCTCCCTCCCTCCCTCCCTCCCCCGGGGCGGGCCTCTCCCCGGGTCAGGGCCACAGCCATGGCCACAGCAGCGCAGGACCTCACCCAGGCCAGGTCTGGTTGGGCTCAAACAGGATGAGCAGGGTGGGCTCGTAGTAGCCGTGCAGGAACTGCAGGTCGACAATGTTGAGAAGCTTCTCGTCCAGGGCCCTCACGTCAATGATGTAGCTGGGCAGGAAGCTGGACCTCTGCCTGGGGGCAAAGGGCTTCAGCTGGGGAGGGGTACGGGGAGGGAACCCCGGCTCGGCAGCGCCTTGCCTCCCCTGCCTGGGCACTCACCCCTCACCCACGAGCCCCTCGTGCTCCTCGGCCAGGCTCTCCCTGCGGAAGGGAAGGACCACCAGCCGTGTGCCGTAGATGAGCATGGCCGCGCAGCGCCCGTCGGGGTCCACGCGCACCCGCGGCGTGTGCACGTTCTGCACGAAGCCGTCCTGCAGGGGAGGGGCATCAGGCAGGCCCTGGCAGGGGACCCCGCGGGGAGCCAGGGGGCGGGGCGAGGCAGGGGGTGGGGCGGGGCAGGGGCGGGGCTAGGCCTACCCGCAGCTCAGGCTCCTCAAAGTAGTGCAGAGACAGGGTCTTGAGATCGTGGGTGCCCGGGTCGTATTCCACTACCGACAGCTGGGGGCGGCAGGTCAGAACCGGGCCCGCCCACCGCAGCCCCCCGCCCGGCTCCCGCCCCCACTGCCCCCCCCCGCCCCCCACTCCCACCTTGGCATCCTTGAAGCTCAGGAGCAGGGCATCCCTCTTGGCGCCCGCCAGCTGCACACTGGCCATGGACATGACGTTGCCGAAGAAAGAGAAGGAAGCCACCAGCTCCAGCTTTTCCCGGTGCTCCCGGTGGGCCTTCCCCTCTGCGGAGAGCCAGTGGGTAGGGATCTGGGCCGCGTGCCCCAGCCGCCAACCCCCAGGTGCGTGGCCAGGCAGCCACCCTGCGCTCACTCACCTGCGCTCCTGTCATTCTTGGTCGGCACCTGTAGGAGGGAGAAGGAGGGAGGGTAGTGAGGGGCCCACCTCATGGAGGGACAGGAGAAGACCACCCAAGGCCGGCCCTGCAGCCAGGAGCCCCACGGGGCTCGCCACAGTGAAGCGTGCGACCAGACACTGCTAGATACGGCCGTGCCCACAGACTCACACTGGCATCTGGGGTCCCCAGCCCACCCCAGGGCTCCTCCTCAGGAAGCTCCCCACCCAGCTTCCCCAGCAGCCGTCCCGACACGGGACGCTCAGGGTCAAAGGATGGACAGCACTCTCTGTGCACCCCCAACCCACCCCAGACTCACCCTGGGCCCAGCCATGGCTGCCACCAGCTGCCAATGACACGTGATTGCTATGAAGAAGGAACCCCGGCTCTGCTGACATGCCGGGCGCACCCCTGAGCCCGAACTGGGTGTGACGGTGACCCCAACACGGGGCTATGGCCCTCGCCCCATCTGTGTCCTACCGACTACCTTCCCCAGGGCAGGAGGGTGTCTCCAAGTGAGCCTGGTGACATTTGAAAGGATACTACACCACAACCAAGTTGCTATTCCAAGCATGCAAAGTCAGTTTACCACAAGAATGCCCATTGCTACAATCTACCAAAGTCTCAAAATTAAGGAAAAAATCATGTATGGTTTTCAATGGATATGAAAAGCATTTGATAAAATTTAGACCCATTCACGATAGAAATTCTTACTAACCCAAGAATACAACTTCCTTAATCAAATAAAGGTCATCCACAGTAAATCTATAGCAAGTGTCGCACGTGAACTACAATGTGAAATGAGGACCGGGCCTGGACAGACTCTCCCCTCGCCAGACACGAGGTCAAGACCCAGAGACCAACTGCGATTCTGTACAGACGCAAGACACGGAGTAAAAACGTAAATCCATTGTAAGAGACATAGGGACATACTCAAATGGTCTAACGCACCACTGGCAACACAGAAGGACGGAGGAAGGAAAAGGACAGAACCCATAACTGAAGAAATGACCAAAAATATTCCGCTAAGATGCATCGGCCTACAGATTCAAGGCCAGCCAGCAAGTCCCGAAGCAGAGGGTAAATGCAAAGAGGCACGTCGCAGTTGAAGGACAGGAAACCAAAGACAAAGACAAGTATCATAACAGTGGTCAGAGGCAGAAAGAGACAACACCTTCATACAAACTCATATTCAGGGACTTCTCTGGTGGTCCAGTGGTTAAGACCCCGCGCTCCCAATGCAGGGGGCCCTGGTTCGATCCCTGGTCGGGGAACTAAGATCCCACACGCGTGCCACAACTAAAAAGCCCGCATGGCGCAACGAAGACCCCACGTGCCGCGAGTAAGGCCCAGTGCAGCCAAAAGAAATAAACATTTTAAAAAACAAACTGATTTTCAACAGAAACTACAGAAGCCAGTGCTTTAATGTGATGAAAGAAAAAGGTCAACCTAGAATTCTAAACCCAATGAAAATATCCCTCAAAAGGGAAGTTGAGGGCTTCCCTGGTGGCGCAGTGGTTGAGAGTCCGCCTGCCGATGCAGGGGACACGGGTTCGTGCCCCAGTCCGGGAAGATCCCACATGCCACGGAGCAGCTGGGCCCGTGAGCCATGGCCGCTGAGCCTGCGCATCCGGAGCCTGTGCTCCGCAACGGGAGAGGCCACAACAGGGAGAGGCCTGCGTACCGCAAAAAAAAAAAAAAAAAAAGGGAAGTTGAAATAAAAACATTTGCAGACAAACAAAAGTGGAACAAGTTCACTGACAGCAGAAACTCTTCAAGAATTGCTAACGGAAGGTCTTCAGGCTGAAGACCCCAGAAGATAAAAAAAGGCTACGACCTACTGAATAGAATAAGAATCCATGAGCCTGTGGTGTTATAAAGAAAGGAATGAATACAGGGAGAAAGGAGAGCCCACCAAGAAGGTAGCAGAGAGGGTGGGGTCAGGAAAAGCACCACAGTCGCGTCACCGTCACCATGGACGCTGACAACCACAATCACTGCTGCTGAAACTGGAAGAGGAAGGTCTGAGCAGTAAGACGGCATTTACCGTCTCAAAGTCCCAACATCCCAGTGGGAGAGCTGGCAGGCTGCTCACCCCACCGAGCCACCTACGGCAGCACCCGGGGACTGTACCAAGGAGCACCACAGGACACGCTGGCCAGGTGTGACCAGGCCTGAACCACACCAGCACCGGCATCCTGGTTCAGACCACTGGCCTGTGGTTCTGCAGAGACTTTGGTATTGTCTGAACGCACGTGACATGCTGACCTCTAGGAGCCAAGGGGTCCCTGCCTGCAACTTATCCTCCAGGTCCAGGAAAAAAAGACAGAGATACGGCACAAGGTTCACCTTTGGGACTCTGGGTGAGTGTACACAGGAAATCTTTGTGCTTTTGCAACTTTTCCGGGTCTGAAATTATGTAAAACCGAAGTGCTAACGACAGCAATAATGTTCTGCAGAGCTTCTAACCTACGCAGGGGCAAAACTTGTGACGATAGAACAAAGCGTGGGGGTCAAGAGGATAAAGGGTTACAGGACTCCGTGTTGTTTGGGGAAGCTCAGTGGAGCCAGATTGTAATAAACCACAGAGACCTGTTGCGGCCTCAAAGGTATCGGCTAATTAGAAAATAATGCAGGCTTCCCTGGAGGCGCAGTGGTTGGGAGTCCGCCTGCCAGTGCAGGGGACACAGGGTCGAGCCCTGGGCCGGGAAGATCCCACATGCCGCGGAGCAACTAAGCCCGTGCGCCACAACTACAGAGCCTGCGCTCTAGAGCCCGTGCACCACAACTACAGAGCCTGCGTGCCTAGAGCCCATGCACCGCAACAAGAGAAGCCACCGCAATGAGAAGCCCGCGCACGCAACAAAGAGTAGCCCCGGCTCGCCGCAACCAGAGAAAGCCCACGCACAGCGACAAAGACCCGACACGGCCAAAAATAAATAAATAAAATATAATTTTTTTAGAAATTCTTAAAAATAAATAAAATTACGCATTCTTGATTTGACTCTTCCATGTAAATCTCAGAATCAAAATTATGAAATCTTACAAGAAATCTTATGGCAACTTTGAGGAAAAGGACATGGTTTTTGGATTCATCTGAAGAGGGTATGACATCTCTACAATATCGAGACTTCCCATCCATGATACATTTTCTATTTACTTGAGACCGTGCTTAATTTCAAGGAAGTGCTATCCACTTTCTTTCCTCCCAAAGGTCACAGCTGCCCGGCCCTGCAAAGCAGCGAGACCTGCTGCTCCCACAGCTGCCTGGGGTCTGCTTCCCCCAGGACTGAGGGACCAGGCACATGCCCCACCCCCACCATCTGCTCCCCACTCTTTCCTTCCCTCCTGTCACCACGGCAGCCCCTGCACTTGCACTTGCACTTGATTCCTTGGAGCAGACCGAAGACAGCCTCCAGAGGGGGCTTACCACCCCCTCTTGAATCCGGGCTGGGGGTGGTGCTCTGAAGGACAGTCAGTGACAAAAGGGATGCTGTGCCCCCAGGGTCTGGCCCTGGCCACGACTGGCCGCTTCCCTCAACGTAAGAAGCTCAACTACCTCAAGGCCGTCTGCCACGAAAACCAAGCCAGCCACGTGGAGAGAAAGGGGAGAGACATGCCCTTCAAGTCACCCAGACAAGACCCAGAGCTCACAGAGCAGAGGCCAGGCGTCCCCACGGTCCCTGCTGTGCCATCCAAGCTCCCGGCTGCCCACAGGTGTGTGCCACCCTGGTGACAGCGCTGTCTGAAGCTCCAGGGCGGGCTGTCCCGCAGCAGTGACTAGGCTGACCCCCAACACGCTCACCCACCCGAGGACTCCACCCAGCCCGCACTCCATCTCCGGCTCCCACACACTCCACTCTCTGGTGTAAGAGTAGGCAAACTTTCCCATGAAGGGCCGGGGAGCAAGTATCTGATTCAGCCTTTGCAGCCGCATCTAGTCTGTCAAGGATCTTCTTGGAATCATTTACAGCCCTTCAGAGGCGTGCGAGCTCCCCTGGATCTTGGTGGGCTGAGAGTGGGCTGTGCTGGGGGCCCTGCACAGGCAGCTCCTTCCCTTCAGAGAAAAATGTGCCGTCTCACTCCCCTTAAAAAGTCCTGCTCTTCCTACCAGTTTCTGCTCCATTTCTTCTCTTCCCTTTGCGCAAACCTCTCCCAGGGAGCTGTCTCTCTCCACTGGTACTGACCCTCCTCCTGCACCAGGCTCTTGGCCTCACTGGCCCGCACCCCTGCCTGCCACCAGACTTCCTCGTCGGGGTCACCAGGGGCCTCCAGGCCTCAGGACCCACCTGAGGCTCAGAAACATGGGACCCAGCATCAGGTCCCCAAACGCTGCCCTCCCTCGGCCGCCAGAACACTCTCTGGCTTGGCTGCCACCTCCCTGACCATGCCACTCCCGACTCATCCACGGCTTCTTCTCTTCGTCCTACCCCTCGATGCTGGGGCGCCCCAGGGGCCATCTTCGGGGTGATCGCAACCTGCTGCTACCGCGTCTAAACACCACCCACAGGCTGCAGACCCCGACTCCAGCTCCAGCCCCCAACCCTTCCTGGACATCGACTCCGGCTGTGGAGTGAGCACCTCAAAGTGCCTGTGGTGGCCCCAGCGGCTCCCTGCGCTGGGAGGTCCACGTGGCCCTGACCACTTCTAGATCAGGTTACAAAAGACATGGGGCTTCCAACCCGGCAGGCTGAGTCGTCCTCGGGGAGGCTGTGTGTGGTGCACAGCCCTGTGGAGAGGCCACACAGTGAGGAACCGATGCCTCGAAAGAAAGCAGAAAACACAACCCCAGTGGGGCCTTCAGAGGACGGCGACCCCAGCCGACGTCTCACTGCAGCCCCAAGAGACCCTGTCGGGGCCGCTCCCGGCTTCCCACCCCGAGACCCTGTGAGGCAGTGCCCGCTGTTTCACGCTGCTGAGCTTTGGGGCACCTTGTGACGCAGCAACAAGTAACTCCTACGATATCCAAAATGAGCTCCTGACCCCAGTCCCTACGCCCTCCCTGCAGCCTTCTCCCTTCTCAGGTGCCGGCAACTCTGCCCTGCAGGCGCTCAGACCGAAATTCCGACCCAGGCAAAGCCTCGACCCTGAAGAGCCTCGGCATCGCCCTGGGCTCCTCTCCCCTGCCCACCCCACATCCCTCCGTCCTGACCCAGGCGCTTCCTGCCACCTCTAGTACCTGCTGCTCCTCCGCACAGCGGCCACAGCGACCCTGGGAGACACCGTCTGGTCAGCTCGCTCCTCTGCCCAAACCTTAACACCCCATCTGCCTCAAGTCACCACTCAGTTCCCACAATGGCCCAGATGGCCGCGATGCCAACGCCCCACCCCCGGCCCGTCACCCCTCTGACCCTCTGCTCTCACCGGCTCACTCCTCCCTCCCTCTCCGCCACTGGGCTGGTCCCAGAACACTGGCCCCTACTGCCCTGGGACCTTCGGCTCTGCCTGGAAGCTCTTCTCCCCACACCATCCTCCTGGCCCACTCAAATCTCACCTGCCCAAGGAGGGGAGCTTTAGACCACGCCTGGCTCCATCCCATCCTGTTGGGGGGCGCAGGCGCTTTCGCCTCCAGCATGTGATGTGCTGGCAGCGTGTGGTCCGCCCCCCCAACCAGAACCAGAGCGCCACCCAGGCGGCGGCGCTCTGAGGCAGCGCTCACCAACCCCTCCCAAGATGCTGTGAGCCCTTTTGTAAACCACATAACAATGTAAAAACTTCCAGTCTGTCTCTGAAAGTTGACTGAAAACCCGTCTCAGATTTAGTAACAGCAAAGATCCTCCTGTTCAGTGTGGAACCATATATATTTATTCGCAAAATTTCTTTTTCAGTTTTGACTGAAATTTTGACAAAAGCCAAATACTGACCTCAAAACTGCTGTATCGCAAAAGCTTAAACTAAGATTTTTTAATGACACGTATTCAGTCACAAAGCTCTCACATCCTTCTATATTTTGCTTGTTTTGTCACGTGTGAATTAGTACAACAGTACACACGTTTAACACAAAACAAACACCCATGTACTGAGGTAGGTCCCCAGGAAGGTGGCGTCCTCCTGGCTGCCCTCTGGCCCTGTCCACCTGCTGCCCCGCAGACGACAACCCCTCCCACCCCCCCTCCACTCTGCACCCCAGTCCAACCCCCCCCCCCCCCCCAATTACTTCTGGCCTGCGCACAGGCCTTCCTTCTGCCTGGAACCTACCCCCTCCCCATCCTTGCGCCTGGCTCTTACTCCCGGCTCCTACTCCCCCTTCAAGAACAGATGAGAAGCCGCCTCCTGCAAGAAGTCCCCCTGGACCAAACCTCACACCTCCGGCAACCAAAGCACCCCTGTATCTCCTCTACTGATGGGTTCATCACACTTTACCGACCTCCGACCCACACCTACACCCAGCCTTGTTCTCTTTGCCAGGAAAGTTCTTCCCCCAACAAACTCCTACTCTGCCTAAAACAGGCTCCTCTGATCACTCATTCTCTCCTCCATTTCCTCAGCTGCCCCTTCTGCAGGCTGCAGTGTGTCTACAGGCGTGTTCGCACGTGTGCATTTGGTCAGCGGGTGTCCTCCTGCCCCAAGTTTTTGCAGGTTTTGTTCACTACTGCATCGCTACCACCTAGCGCACAGCAGGTGTTCATGTAATTTGCTAAAAAGACGAAAGAGCAAATGAGACGCGCAGGGCAGGCCTCTGAGCCCGCCAGGCGTGGGAAGAGGTGGAGGAACGTGGCAGCGAAGAGAACAGGCTCTGGACACAACCAACCACGGGGCCCGTCTGGCCTGCCTCTCTGTCTGTACCGGGCAACCCTCGCCGCGTGGCGCTGCGGCTGGAGCGGGCCTACCTACCTCGGCGTCGCGGTTGAGGCGGTACACGTAGAGCTGCGATGTCCCGGCCACCACGAGGTTGCGCTCGCTGTTGTTAAAAAAGTTGCAATACATCGAGAACTCGAGGCCGGTGGGCGGATGCGCCTGCTTGTATACGGCGTACATGGCGCCGAGCCCGGGCTGCACGGAGCCGGAAGGCGACGAGATGAGCCGGGCCGCCGGCCCACGACCCCAGGACCGCTCGCCCGCCGGCCACCCACCTAGCAGTTGGAGCCGGGGGGCGGGGGACCCGTACGGCAGCGAACACGGCCCGGCAGAGCCCGGAAGCCCCGCGCCGAGGTTCCGTGTTTCTGCGCTTGCGCAGTGCCGCCAAGGCGCAGCTGCCGCGGGGGCGACAGCGGCCCCTGGTGGTCTGGGGCGGCCTCGAGGCTCCGCCTCCGGAGCCCCAAAAACCGAGCTCTCTCAAGATCCAGAGTCCCACTGCGGGCGAACGCAGGAGCGGGTTGGAAACCGGACGGGGGCTGAGGCGGCTCAGGGCCGCCGGTCAGGGCCCTGCCCGCCCCAGGACCTCAGAATGGGGTCACCGCTGAGGGTCTCGCCCGCAGGAAGAGGCGAGGTCTTAGGCGCCCTGCCGGTTGCCGAAGCCCAGCTCAGCCAGACGAGCCTCGCAGTGTGGAGGCCGGGAGGGCAGAGACCCCCGGACATAAACACTCGCCAGATTACGCCCCGGCAGGCGCCGCTAGTGTGGCAGACGCCCGACTAGTCCAGGGAGAGCTTCCTGGAGATGCCGTGTCCCGTCCCTGCTCAGTGATCCCCCGCAGAGCGACCCCCCCACCCCCTCCAAAACACGCGTACTCACGACGCACGGCCCTGACTGGCACTGGCGGTCGCGTAGCTGCCGGTGGTCCCGCCGGCCCCTCTACGAGCCCCTCCCCGCAGAACGGCGCTTTTCGCGCCTCTTGCCCACTGCTCCCTCCCGAGGCCTGGCACAGTTGCCCACTTCAAGGGCCTTGGAGCCAGGACCGTGCACAGCTAAGCAGTCCTCTCCTCACTTGGCAGGGACTCGCCCTAGGTACCCGCGAACAGGTCTGGGATGTAGAAACAGAATTTTTTTTTTGGCCCCCCCGCGCGGCTTGCGGGATCTTAGTCCCCCGACCAGGGATCAACCCGGGCCCCCTGCAGTGGGAGCGCGGAGTCCTAACCCCTGGACCGCCAGGGAAGTCCCAAGAAACGGAATCTTAGGAAATAAAACAAGAAAGTATAATCACAGCCGAGAAAATGGCATAGAAATATGTGTTCATGTTGCATCCAGATGTGCTCACTTGCTCACTTCAGCAACAAGGCTTCAAATCTGGACCCTTGAGCGGTGGACAAAGGGGTCACTTGGATGCCTGGGCAGGTGTGTGACCCCTAAGTCACAGCAAAGCCCTTTAAAAGTCATAACAAAACTGAACCCTGAAAAGAGGGGTAGGCTGGGGCAGAGCTCACCCTGAGCAGGAGAGAACACCCGCAGCCCATTTCTCTAGGAGCCCCGTGCCCTTTCCTAGAATTCCTGCGACGTGTAATTGTGTCAGCCGAGCCTTTGTGGGGAGCCCGCCTCCCAGACTTGCTATTTTATGTAATGTATTTATATGTATTTGTAGATGTGATAGAAGTCTTGGGGGAGTGGGGGCCAGCTGCTACTCTCCCCACTCAAGCCCCTTCTTGCTGTAGCAAAATAAACCCCCTATTCCCCTTTTCCCTTCAGGCCTTCTATTAATACATAGCCCCCTGGCAGGCTGGTTTAAGGCAGTTTGGGTATTGGGGTCAGGTACCAATGAAGAATCACGACTTACCTCGCTCCCTTGTAAACCATTATTTGAGTTTTCGTCCTCGTGTAATTACTTTATTCCTTGATTTTTTTTTTTTTTTTTTTGCGGTACGCGGGCCTCTCACCGTTGTGGCCTCTCCCATTGCGGAGCACAGGCTCCAGACGTGCAGGCTCAGCGGCCATGGCTCACGGGCCCAGCCGCTCCGCGGCATGTGGGATCTTCCCGGACCAGGGCACGAACCCGTGTCCCCTGCATCGGCAGGTGGACTCTCAACCACTGCGCCACCAGGGAAGCCCTATCCCTCGATTTTTGAGAAACTGGTCCTTTTGTCATTTGTCATGTTTCCCTCCCTCCAAATCTTGATCTGGAAATAGCAGAGATATAGCTCCCGCCCCACCCCCACCCCTGCCCAGCATAAAAGTGGTACCTGTTTGTCTCCATACAGAGCAGGGACTTCTGCTTCTGTTCTGGTCTTGACCCCAGAGACATGCCTTCCTCCGGCTGACCATTTTAAAATAATCTGAATTCACACTCAGAGATATTCAGCCTGTCAGCCCCAGAGACCTGCCTTCCTCCGGCTGACCACTTTTAAATAATCTGAATTCACACTCAGAGATATTCAGCCTGTCAGCTCTCCTTTTAAAAAATCAAAGATATGCTTTTGTCTCAGTGAAAGCATGTCTCCAAGCAAAGGCTCCTCTATTCTGGTCGTCCTGAACCAGGTAGGTGACTGCTTCAGAGGTTTTCTCTTTTGCCCAAACTCCACCTAATAAAGTTCTGATAGCATGGAAAAAAAAAAAAAGATAACAAAAACTGTAGCCAGAGCCACCCTGAGGGTGTACTAGAGGAGGGAGCAGGGGCAGAGGTGGGGCTGTGGCCAGAACACTAACTCTCCTCATCCAAGTCAGATGGGCATATTCATGGCACCCACAGCGCAGGGCATCTGTGATGGATAAACAGGTCAGTGGCCACAGAGCCCTCAGACTCGAGCCTGCATGTGGCAAGTGCCCTGACAAAGGAATGAGAGTTTGTGTGTGGGAGAGAGGCGGTCAGTGCAGAGAGAGGCAGAGATACTGAAGGAGCACAGTCCTGGGAGAGCAGCAGCAGGCGGGATGCAGCTCCATTCCAGTCAGAGAGGAGGAGAAGGTGGGCAGAGGGACTGGGAAGTTGTAGGGCTGCCAGCAGGAAAGCAGATGTGGGCCTGCCTGGTGGACGCACTTCTTCAATGGGAAATTTAAGGAGGCTGTCAGTGGAAGTGGTGGCTCAAAGCTGCTCGAAAGGGACAGTGATGGGCTGGAGGATGGTCCAAGGCTGGGGGGTGGGAGGGGTGATGGGGCTGCCAGTACAAGAAGCCAGTAGAAGCTCACATAACAGATTCTTCCCTAAAGACTTCAGAGGAGCACAGCCTGCTGCCCCTTGATTTCAGACTTCTGCCTCCAGAACTCTGAGAAAATAAATTTCTGACGTCCTAAGGCACCCAGTGTGTGGTGGGCTGTGCTACAGCCCCAGGAAACTACCACATGGGGACTCTGAGGATGGACACTTCTGGTGAGGACAGTGGAGCAGAGCAGTAGAGGCCCGGGCCTCACGGAGGGTTGCCACACACCCTGGTCTGATTATCTCCAGGCCCATTTTTCATGAGAGAGAAACAAGCCCTCACCTGTGTAAATGCTGCTGCTTGTTTTGTTTTTTCTGCTACAAGCAAACAAATTTGATTTCTGATTGGATCCCAGGTCCTCCCTGCGGCCCTCAGACCCTGGTCCATTTCTCTGGCTTCACTTCCCATGCATTACAGATGAGGGGACTGAGGATGGCTATTTGGAGGTCCCTGAGCTCAGCTATGCTGGCTCCTTGTCAGGCACCAGGCACTGCTATGGGGAGAGATACTGCCCCACCTGTCGACCTTTCTTGGTGGGAGACCCTTCCCTCCCAGCGAGGTGAGCAGGCTGGGCTCCAAGCACAAGTGTCTTTATTGAAGATGGGCACTGGGGCTCTCCGGGTGGCTGTGGTTTCTAAGGGGCTGAGATAGTGCAAGGCCAGGAGCCAGAGTCAAGGGCTGAGACTGGGGCAGAGGCTATCAGAGGGTGATATTATCCTCATACAGCGACAACAGCAGCAGGACGGTCCAGCCGCCCAGCAGGCCCACGTTGTGCAGCAGGAAGAGGAGCCAGGGCCGCCGGTCCCGCACGTTCAGCATGGCCGGGAGCTGCGGAGGAGGTGGGCCCTGGGTCAGAAGTCAGCTCAGAGCTCCTGCTCAGCTGCCGCCCACTGCAGTCCCCTCCCGCACTCCGCGCTAACCATGTCGCAGAGCGCCACGTAGAGGAAGAGACCAGTGGCTACCGCCAGGATCCAGGTCTCGCCATCTTCGCCGACGCCTACCGCAAGCGCCACGTAGAGGCCGATGAAGGCCGTGAGCCCCGAGGCCAAGTTCAGCAGCAGCGCCAGGCGCACCGACAGCCCCGCGTGCAGCAGGGCCGCGAAGTCCCCTGGGGCGGGAGGGGCGGGGTCAAGCCGAGAGCCCCGCCCACCCCGACAGCCCTCGCTCCGCTCCGATAGTCCCTCCCAACTGTCCCGCCAACCAACCAACCGCACCCCAGGCAGGCCCCGCCCCGCTGGAACCCCTCGCGGCTCACCCAGCTCGTGCGGCACCTCGTGGCAGAACACGGCCAGCGAGGTGGACAGCCCCGTCTTCCAGGAGGACGAGAAGGCGGCGCCCACGGCCAGACCGTCGGCGAAGTTGTGCACGGCGTCTCCCAGCGTGATCACGTAGGGCAGCAGTCTCAGCTCTGCGGGCGCGGCCGGCGTGGGTGGGCATCTGCCTCGCAACACCTCGCCCCCGCCCCCCCCCCCGCGCCGGTGCTGCGCACCGAACCCCTGGCACCCAGTGCTTCCGGGGCCTCCCTCAGGGCTCACCTGGGCTCAGTCTCCGGGGCTCCGGGCTCAGCAGTTCGGGGCTCTCCTCCGCCACCTGTGGGGCGGGGGGGATGCGGTCCGCGTAGATGAGCCTCTGGGCGGGGAGGTGAGGAGGGGCTCGCGGAGCTAGGTCCTCAGCTCAGGCCAGGGGCAGAAGCCTTGGCGTGGGGGCTGGGAGTGCAGACAGGGCTCCGCGTGGGGTAGGAACGTCCGGTAAGAGCCAGCTCACCAGGTCTGCGCGCGAGCCCTCGTGGGGCTGCTTGGGAGGCCGGAGATCGCTCGGCGCTAGCTGCAGGGACACGCCATGGCTGTGGCCGCCGTGACTGTGGCCGTGGCTGCAGGGCCCGTCCTTTCGGTCCTGCGGGGACAGCTGCTCAGGGTCCACCACGCCTCCCCCCCTCCTCCCCACACCGCGTCCAGCCCCCATGCACCTGACCTCCGGGTCCAGGGGCAGCAAGAGGTTGAAGAGGCTCTCGAACAGGAAGAAGGCATAGAGACCACCCAGCACAGCTAGGAGGCGCCAGGTGGGCTGCGAGCCAAGGCCTTCGCCATCATGCGAGTGCAGCCCCAGCACCTGGGGGGGCAGAGGG